TGTTGACCTTTCTTTTTTTGTTCTTTTTCTGGTAGCCGAATACTCTCGGATATGGATTTGACGACGGTCCCAACTGCTCCCATAATGCGTTTTACGATTATCTTACCCAGCAAAATCAGAAAGCCAGTACGTGATTCACCAGGTTCTGTTACCCGTGATTCGTTATGAACCCGCCCGGCAACAGCTATGTTCTTTATCGGAAGTAACGTCATTGGATGGCCTTTACAGGCTAAGCGCGCTTTTGAAGACGGTCATGAACTTTGTGTCCGTGAGTACAGCGCCCATCAGCCATTTTGATGGTTTCTTTGATTCTTAACCACTTTTTTTTTTGCACGTTTAGACACATGGTCTCACCAAGAACGTAAGATTTTATTAAACGGGTTTGGTAAAGCGTACAATTCCGACTCACGCTAAATTCTCTCCCTCAGTGACTGGAATGTCCGATGAGGAAGTTTTCGCTGAAATTTGGTACAGTGCGTGAATTTCGATTTATTTTTTTGCAGTAGCTCGTTATTCAACCTTTCTCCTAGCCGTGAGTTCAGCAATCACTCGTGTCTTGGTTTCATTACCTACAGTGGTCCTAGGTGCAAGCCATCAAGCTAGTAACTGGCGCCACCACCACATGTTTCCGCGTGAGTTTGAATCTCTTGTCGAAGCCTAGTGTCAAAAGTCATAAACCATCTCTCAGGCTCCCTTTGGTGACATCGACGACCGAGTTCGTTACATTGGTCACCACATCGGCGTTAGGCATGTCATTTGGAACCACGACACGTTCGATACCATTCCCGACAAGACCACTGGCAAGGTTGAGGTCGCCAACGTCCGTAAGAACTACGAAGCGTTTTTGGCTACCGCCAACTCTGGAGCTTTCGCAAGGGTATGTACTACGCCTTCAGGTCACGTCACATCGTTCATCTGCCCTCCAGGAAGGAGCTATTTTACTCGCCCATGAGACGAACAACATGACTATGCAAGAAGCTGTTAGCTACTACCCCCAATTAAAGGCTGCCTTCAAGGTATGTATAGACTATACCCTACAACGCGACAAGACATTAATTAATCTCCGTTCTGTGGACCATTTAGCATATTGTTCCCGTCGGAGTCGCCTTGAACATCACACAACCCTATGTCGAGACCACGTTCTCCCAGCCTTCATTCGAACAATGTACGTTTCCTTCTCACACGTTTAATTAAACTTCTGTGACATGGAACGTTGCCGCTCACATTCCCTTTTTTTTTCATTTGATACCCATAGATATCGCTGGAACGGTTCAGACTAAAGGACCTGCTACCAACCCTCAGTCGGGTTTACCATCAAACAGTGCCTCCAGTAATGGAAGCAGTTCCGGGAATAGGACGACCTCGAATCTCGGAAACAACGGAGCTTTACCTGCTTCTTCCGTTCTATCAATATCGACGTTGATGAGAGGACTGGGTTTTACATTGCTCGTTTCGGCGATGGTTTGATTTACCCTTCAATTAACCTTTGTTTTCTGCTCTCTTGTTTTTTTTTTTTTGTGTTTCCTGTAATTCGGGTCTTATTGGCTTGTGCATCCCACGGTTGACAGTGGACTGTAGCGAACACTCTGAATCATCGATGTCTAGGCCTCACTCTTATCGTTCTTTTTTTACTATACACACTCGCTCTCTATCATCGGTCTTTAAATGAATACACGTTCCCATTTCTTCATCAACTTACCCTTTACCACCGCTCCCGGAAGCTTTGAACCTACGTTGAATGGATAAATAGGCTCGTTACGACAGATTTATGCACCATATGGCGTCCCTCACAACGCGGTTGCAACGCGCTAGAGGGAGAGGTATGTACGCGACGCGGCACGGCATGTATAATACTCCAGAGTCTAAATTCTAATACGTACTGACAATTCAATGAGGGACTTGATTTCTCCCACAAGAGCGACTAAAATACCTTTTGCGCAGCCCTCTCTCATTCAGCCTTGTTCTCCTTCTTTCACTCCACTATCGACATGTTCAGTAAAAGGAAAATGCCTTTCTCTCATCAACGCGTACCTTCCGTTCCTTTAACACCAAGACCATTTTCACCTTCCATAACCACAAGCAGCAGCAGCAGTCAGGTACGTACCAAATCCTCATTTTCCACGTTTTTTTAAAAAATCTTCACCCAGACATCAGTCGAGATTTACACCATCCAACCCACTCCCGAAAGCTCACCACCCACAAGCCATCGCTCACTATCACCCGATTCCACGCGTCCCCACGACTCCCAATGCCGCTGGTCAGACGTCGTACCCCCAAACTCAGGCCTCACCTTCGCCGTCGTCTGGGATCCAGAAGACGAAATGGTCGCCTTTTCAGGCGCCGAGCTCTTCCAAGACGGATCTCAACTATCACCCTGCTCATCAGACTCACCCACAGACGCGGTCTCTCAGATTCTTACGATACCCTTCTCCGAGAACACGGGTAACTATACCGGTACTCTTCAATACTTTAGGGAGAACCACGAGTGGTTGTTTAACGATTACGAGGAAGACGGTGGACGGGACAGATTTCGAATAAGATCGAGATGGAGCCGGTTAAAGTTGGGTCGAACGCAGGCGTCTTCGACTATGGGAGAAATGGACGTGTATCTCCGAGGATCGTTGATGGGAGTTGCTCATCCTGACAACACAAAGTTCAATTCTTGCTTTGGGGGGCTAGACGGAAAGTTTGAGTTTGATCCACGAATGGATTTCGAGGAGATGTGGGCAAAGATAATATCAACAGAGACGGAGTCTGGCAAGGTTAGGAAGGATAAGAACGATATTGACGATGAGGGGTTCTTTGAGGTCGAGTTTGTCACAAAGGTACGTTGTCCTCGAAAAAAAAAATTTGTACGTTTTTTGAACTCCCCCTTCTAGAGACATCCGAACACTACAGAAACACCGTCATCAGGCTCCCGAACCGCACCAAGTTACCCGTCACCCGATGACCAGGAAGACCCTTGCGAAGAAGAGCAGGACGACTTGTCATGGCAAACTATCGAATGCCCAGACCAAGTTCATCGGCTCAGTATTGCCTATTTCAACATGCTTCATCCAAACGAGGCTCGTCATCCCAAGCTGCTCAAGAAACGTCGTCGTCCATCCGATGCACCTTGTCATCCAGCAGAGGTTCTACAAAGGGAGGTCTTTAGCCATCAAGTCTCCCTTGAACCAGAATTACCTCCCCCTCCACCACCTTCAGGCTCACCACCGAAAGAGCCCTTTTCGCCCATCGGAAAGCTGTGCAGAACGTTATCGGTGAAATGGAACAAAGGACTACCTCTTGAACGTTGGGTCTGCGTGGAGGTTGTAGAAGATAAAGAAAAGACGGCGGGTTGTTGAGGAACGTTTTTCAGATAGCTTGATGCATCGAACATTCATAATTACCGCGTTTTTTCATTGGATGACTTCCTGTAACGACATCTTTCCCCCCCTCCTCGTTTTAAATGCTTATCTCCAGCCACATGTATGTACTTTCTTATGAGGTTTACTAGATGTTCTATTAGAAATTGTTTGTATGCATACTTGTACATATACCCTCTGTACTCGATACTATAACAGCCTCTCTCTTGCACTCATGATCAGGGTAAAAATCTAAGCATATGGCAATTGATTTCAAATTGTGGTCGAGAGCTACAGGGTTGATGGTCGGATCGATTGTCGAAAAGAAAGACGGGTGTTCTTGGTGTCGTAGTTCTATTTTTCTCCGAATTTCTGTCTTCTCTCCTTACAGGCTTTCTGCTCAGCGCTCAGCCCCAGATCCTGGTCGCGTTGGGCGTTCGACTTCTTTGCTTTGGCAACGCGTCGATCACATGTATTTCACGTGCGTGTATTACTCCCGCGTTAAATTAAATTTACAGAGGCACATGGATTTCATGCCCTCGATCGATAAGCGTCTAATCTTCCCGGCTGCTTCTCATTGGCTAACAAATCTGATCCCGAAGCCCACGTTTTGGGGTATGAGACCCAATTGGTGCGCAGCTCAGTCTAGCTCGATAAACTTCTACATTCCCCTGGCCCATCCTCGGAGAGTCGTTCTCTTACATAAAGTTACACTAAGAAACGCAACGCAACGCATCAAAACCCCCTGGCCTTTTCTTTCCCCTTTGCCATTCCCCCCGACGTCTGTCCTAGCTCTTCTCCTCTGCGTACTACTTCCATCGTTTCTCTGGCTACAGTAAATGTCATTTTCTCAGCTTTGAAAAAGAAAAAAAAAAGGATCATCAACGCACACACACAAGGAGGCTCCCCAAGAACGCTTCTAATTTTCTCATTCTCAGTCTCTACATCCCCTCTCGGTACATTACCTGTAACATACACATCAAGGTCAACCCAACGAGAAATGGGTTCAAAAAAGTCTCTCTTACCCGCCCTAGCAGCTTTCTCAACGCCAAGAATCTGCTTGACAATCTCCAATCGCTTTCCACTGTCCTGCGTTCCTCGAATAGCTCTCTCAATTTTATCCGTCTCCCGTCTAATGGACATTTCCATAAAATGAAAGACAGAGTCCGAGCCACCGCCACGATCTTGACTGGGGCGACTCATTTGGGGTGGCATGGTGGGTGGTGGTCAAAGGAAGAGAAAGAAAGGCTAAGTCGAATTTGGGCGAAGGAACCGGAAGGCACGTTCAGGCTGGTTTGACAGGTCTGTCAGCACTAAAGAAGGTTCTCTAGTTGCTTTCAGAGATGTAGATGTAAAGTCTCTGGGTCACCGACCCGGTTTTCCGAGGGCTCTTCTCCCCTTAAACCCCATAGTTGTACGTAGCGTATTTCTGAGGATGATGTCGTTTTATTCCATCTTTTTTTGCCAATATATCCCGTAGTCCCGTAGTCGATAGTGACTAGATATTGTTTGAAATTGGGCAAGATGTGGTACAAGCACCATCGGAATCTACGACGGCTTTCGGTTCTAAACATTCCCGGGACTCTTTCAGAGGTCAGGAAGGCGTATATATGCGCGACATTGCAACGAATTAAGCAAAAAAAGAAAAAAAGGAATTGGACACTGTGGGAATTGAACCCACGACCTCACGCATTTTCGAAATGCGAAGCGTGCGCGCTACCAACTGTGCCAAGTGCCCACCTGCTAAATAGACTTTTGTAGCGATTCCATACTGGCAATGATCGTGTCGGATGGAAGTTTCGCGCAGCTCGCAGGGGCGTAGCAGATGTCGTGGCGCTCTAGTACGAGAGGGGTCGCAAGGGATTGAAATCCGTTGGATCCCAGCCTTCCAACCTCGTCTTAATTGCATGGTTCCGACGAGGACACCTCGGTAATTTGACCATGAGGACTGCTGCAAGGCCTAGGTCGCGGACATCTCGGACAGCGTTCACAGGAAGGTGGAGTGGTAGAGATGGCGACAGAACCGTAGCGTAGCGAAATCCGCCGCAGTGGGCCTCTGTCTGACTCTCGAAACCCTGGGGACCTTCTTTTTGAAGCCCCGCAGCCCGGCATGTTTTTCTAGACGAGTCTTTGTTCTGTGATGTTGGACGTGCAGGTGTAGCCTTTGTAGTGGGAGCCGACAGAAAGACTAACGGCGGTGTGGAAATCTGATGGTGAAATAGATGATTCCATCCGTCGGCGGTCTTGACGGAAGGTGGCACTGCGTGGCTGCATGGAAGTAGGTATAGCCTTGAAAGTTAACCGACGGGATTTTATGTACTCGGACTGTACCCCGCTCAGACAAAAAAAAAAGATCTATTCCTATTCCCCAGTAGGTCAGTGAACGGATATCAATCATCAGCACCACACATACTTTGAGATATCTGGTTGACAGAGATGGGTATAAATGATGAACCATGGATATGGGTGTATCCGGGCGTACCCTCAAGTGCTATAGCTAGCGCGGACACAGATCACGATGTGAAGCAATAAACCTATTCTCAGATCGCGATAGTGCCACTGGCTAGTTCGACGGAAAGACGTCGAGTAAAATACGTTGAACATATGATTGAGACAGCCTATTATTATTTCTCAAGCTAGGGCGTAATATGTCGGAAAAGCTGTCAACTGTATCAAAAACTCAGTTATTTTTGTTGTCAAAGAGCACTCGCCTGTGCGCACAAAATGATTCCTGACATACGCGACATAGCAACTTGAGCCACCACATTTCTTATATGTGCGTGTAGGATGCAATAATAGCTCAGTAGAGGGATCAGGATTAGTAATAACGAGGTTGACTACGCCCGCAGGCGCACTGCCCCCAACTAGACAATAATGGCTGTTTGGTACAAATATGTCAAAACACCTCCTACATTGTTACCCTCATCATCGCCAGTCAGAGTTGAACTCTGCTCAATCTTGTACTACAACCCCTACCCTATAACGCCTTATAACGCTCTCAGCACTACCTACTTCATTCAAGGATCTCTCCAGTAAATCATGGAAACAGGCTCCAGACAACCACCCCCGCAAGGTACGTGACCAGTAGCGCTTATATTGAATTCATCTCACGAAAGTGACTATGTTCCATCACAGGGCCACCTCCAAGTTACGCATTTGTGACGAGATATTACCGCCAGAGTCTGCGACCGGTAGTGGTATTTAGTGCGTACTCAAACGATCCTTTCCTTTCCAGGCAGCTCATCGTCCTTTTTGCAGCAACGTTCATTGCTGCATTGTATGCGCTCTTCGCGTACGTTAATTTCGCTGTGTTGTCTTTACTTGAGCCGTTTCTAATCATTTTTTGGGTTTCACAGCGCGGTTCGTTTCTTTTGGGCAGTTTGCTTTGGCTTGGATCTGAAGAGAGGTTTGTCACACAGATAGGAAACTTTAGGAATGGCACAAGTGTCGACGGCAGTATGTCTTCGTATCCTGAGTAGTTCCGATCATCCCCTTACCATGAACCCGTTTCAGGAACCACACCAAAGTTGGCCACCTTTTCAATAGTCTTAGGTATTCTCTACATCGTGATTTGTGCTATTGAGGTATGCACGTCTATCATGGGGTAATCAATGGTTCGCTCACTCGGCCCGTTTCTTAGGTCCTTGGTGTTGCTGCTGCTGCAACGGTTCGTTGTCATGTTACACTGGACGTCATTCCAAAACCAATAATAACTTTGTTACCTTACTCTAGCGACGCCTACCGTTGATCAAGATCTACGCTTGGTTGTCCGGCCTTGTAATACTACTCGTCGCTGCGAGTGGACTTCTTCGAGTAGTCGTACATTTCACGCAGAAGGTTTGTACATTCATGGTTTCTGTCGTGGGTTTTGTACGTGAAATTAATATGCGATGCTTGTAGAATGACATCATCTCCGAGTGCTCAACTTTGACTGAGGGCCGTGATTTTGTCTACTATCCATTCGGATTTTTTGGTCCATCACAACACACCGTTATAAACGAAGCTGACGCGAACAGATGTGCGTATCAGTTGGACTGTACGGTTTGCTCTTACTGAACTCAACCTACTATTCACAGGGTGTCAAAATGCCTGGGACCACGATTCGTGGGCGGAAATAGTATCGTTGCTCATTCTATTGGGTACGTCTGGTCATCGATCTCTTACGACTTTGAAACCCAACCTTCCTTTCCGATAACCAGTACTCGCCACTCTGTGGGCATCCATAGCATTCAGCTACTATCGCCAAGCTCTCGACCCTACTAGCCCAGCCAATGTCTCCCGCGTGCCTGCTCCCCAGAACTGGGCTTCTCATTATAATCCTCCTTACAGCAATCCCTACGGTGGACAACCCTACTATGGACAACCTCCCCATGGTCAGCCGGCGTATGGACCACCTCAAGGACCACCCCCACAACAGCAATATGGGCCACCAGCCGGCCCTCCAGGATATGTTGGGGCCGACGGGATTGCGGGAGGAGCCTATAACCAGAATAAAAAAGAGCTGGAAGAGAAGGATAACCCATTCGCCGATTTTGATCAACCTACACAATCGGGTCACCGTTTGTGATTGACGAATGCCAATGGACCGTGTTTTTCTCTTTTTTTTTCTTTCTTTTCGTGATGATCTGCGAGCGATGTATGTACATGAAGGACTGTTCAATTTTAATATCGGCAACTGGTATTCCTTTGATACTCTATGGATGTGTTCGAGTAGATGTAGCAATAGTAGTTATACTTTCTTGGCTGTGTTACGGATTTTAATGACGATGTCTACTTCCGCTCCTTCTAGCACCTCCATGATAGGCGTCCGGATGGCGGACGTTAGAACGCCATTATCCTGAGAACCGTTACCCGACTGCACAATGAATTGTAACTTTCGTATGGAATCTGAACTCGACAAACGGGAGCGGATAGCCGTGGCCAACGCCGTCAAATCTACCACAAGAATGGCAGAAGGAGAAGGAAACCTCAACTCCAGTGATTCCAACACGGGCACCAAAACGTCGTCCCCGTTACTCCCTCCGGGGTCAAGACGAGGTAAGATGGTATCCTGCAAAACACGAGAGTCCCTCGAGGTTCCGACCGTGATACAGAGGTGCCGAAGTCTAAGCGTAGCCCTAAGGAGTTCCAAAATATCACCAGACCTCAAATGATCAACCCCGTTCACTCCTCTACTCGATAGCTCCAAACTATGGAGTTCAGAGCCAGAAGCACGTATCACCTCCGCGAACGCGCCAAGAGGAGGCGCTATTGGGGACAAATGTTCAGTGACGACGTGTAGACTTTTTAACGCGGGTAACCTAAAAATGACGAATGGAATCCGGAAGATTCTGGATGCTGTCGCTGAACCATGTCGTTCGGACATGGAGCGTCTGAAGGAGTGGGGGAAGGACGGTCTGTGACGACTCTAGTGGAGCATATTGGGAACAACGTAGGCGATCGTCAGTCGACATTTTTCGAGGTTGGGTGTACGTCGGAGGAGCTGTAGATGATCTTCGATATTGACATGGTGGGATCCTTCGTATTCCCTGAGCTGCGTCCATCGGAGCCCTAGAGCCGCGACGGGCAAGTGATTCCGATTGATGAGCGTCTGAAGCTGAGGGGCGTCCAGGAGAACCTGATAGTGGGCAGGATCACCAGAAAGCGCATCGTTCGCGATATTTTCCTGTTCTGAAAGGATAGTGACGCTTTTGAGAGAACCCAAACGGGTCCTCACACCGCGCTCATGAAGCATAGACCAGAAAGTGGAAGTAGAGTTGTAAAACTCAATTTTCTCCCAACGATCTGCACGATCGATGAGGAGCTCGAACAGACTTGAACGGTTGGAATCGTTGCATATCCCGTCGGGTTCAATAAAGAAGGATAGATTGACTGTTTCCGAGAAGGACAGTCAAGTGGACAGTGCGGTTGTGCCATCGATGGTAGGATCCAAATCGCTAACAGTCAAGCTGAAACGACTCCATAAGTGAGGAAATGTCATAGAGATCGTCCTCCACTTTCTGTTGACCCTGCTGATCGCCCATGGGCCTTTGGAGGATTGGAATACACTTGGCCAGGTTTGACTCTCCGAGCCCTCTGCGTCAGCTAGACCGTTATAGCCCGTCGGTCGTGGGTCTTCGAGGATGGAGAGTAGGAAAATGATGCGAAAGATTTCGTTTGGAAACTGTTCCATTGACGACGCTGAATTGGAGCCGATGTTTCTGTTTTACACGACAACCTTGAAGGGGATAGGGAGTCCAAGGAGAAAAAGAGTAGCGAGGAACTTATCTCCCTTCACGTGGATCTCCAAGGATCTGGTGTATTCTCCCTATCATGATCCCTTAGGGTTCAGTCCTTCACTATCAATTGCCGAGTCAATTCCCCATGTTGTCTTCGCCGATCGCAAAAACCCTAAACATGAAGTTGTTCTGCAGTATCTGAAGCCTGGAGATCCCTCTCTGTGGGTGAGGACTTCCAAACACTCCGTTCGGAAACGTGGATGGCATAAACGCGAATCTTATCAACGACGCATCCGACATGTCAAAACACTGTCCGTGAGTTTTGAACCAGTCAGCTGCGTCGAATAACGAGAGTCGACGTATTGTCATGAGTCCTGAGAATCTGAGTTGTAGTCCGAACATCATCTAGCCCTTTTCTGGTAAACCTACTATTGACGGGCCACACGCAACCTGTTTCATTCTCGAACCATCATCTCCTCGGTCGTCTTGTATCCTTCATGTCAACGATTCAATGATGAAA